AAAAAAAAACGAAAAGCAACACGATACAATATAAAATGAAATTTTGAGAACGAACACTTGTGATTCTGGAAGCATTTTGTTTTTTTATCCAAAAGGTCACTTTACATGTTTCGAATTCATATCTCTTTTTTTTTTGTTGAGTGCAAGAACTTATCGAGCATAGGAAATGATAATGATAAGTTTCGTTTGACTGACTGAATGCGAATCTTGAAACGATTGTTTCAAAACTTCAACTTATATGATGATTTTATTTTTATTATACACCTCGATTTTTCTTTTAAAGTATATCACTGATTTTTTTGCTTCCGAATTACTTTTTCAAAACAAATTTATTAAACACTTTCATATCATGTTTATTTATACCAAAAATGTTCACAAAAAAAATGTTTTTAAAAGTTTTTCACGTTAACAATTGTCCGTTAATTAACAGACACTTAGTAGTTGGGTTTATTGTACTGAACCTGTGTTAACGTGATCCACTAATCAATTATGAACAGCAACAAAAAAAAACACTTTATAATACAAAAAAGAAAAACAAAGAAAAAATATTGTTTGTAATAGTTCACGATTCCCAATCATATGAATCATATGGATCATAATCAAATGGTGATGGTGCATACCATGTTGGATCTAATGATTCATCATATCCATCATTATCATCATTATTCTCATCATCTGTTTGAAAACAATCTTCTGATAATGATGATGATGATGAGAATTCAGATTCTGACTTATAATAATGAGTAGATGTTTCATTTTTTTTATTCTTTCTACTATGGAAGAAAAAGTAAATTTACAATATGAAATAATACAAAACTATGTTAGACGATAAAAATGACTTACTTTTGATTTTCATTTTCAAATGGCCGATCAATAAGTATTAATCGACGAGAAAATGGCAATACAAACTAAATTATATAACATTTTCTTATTGTAAGTATAGATACGAAATTTCTTATATTACTCTTCCATTTGGACTGACATCTAATAATTGAATTAAATGCCAATAAATCATATTATTATTATTATTTTTATTATTATTATTATTCTAGAAGAAGTAAGAAAACAAACAACTACTTTAATCTATCAAATTTGTTTCCTGTTTACTAATTGTTGATTTGATTGTACAAGTGCCATATTATTTTTTTTTTCGATATATGTAAATAGTAATAAATTTATTGTATATATATCTAGAATAGAAAAAAAGAAGCTTTTAGTTTAGCTACTCTAAAATGTGAATTCAATCATTATTTTGTATTTGTATAGCATGCGTTATTTCACAACAATCTCTAGCAATAAATTAAAGACTCCTTATAAATTAGTGATAGTTAGGTTACAGAAGAAATAATTAGCTAGAGACATCTGTTTCGCAAGTTTTAAACCAAAAGTAGTAGAATTCAAATTTATTCCTATTCAAATATGTTTTGCAAAAAAAAAAGGAGCAAAAAAAAAGTAATGATGTTGATGATTAAGTAGATAAAGTTATATCTTGTGAGACGAAAAAGAAAAGCGAAGAAAAACTTCAGTTCCAATTTGAATTATTATTATTATTATTTTCATATTCATGTTGATTTATTTCAGTAGAATTATAATTAAAATAACGTCGATTTATATTTGTATGTATATTAACAGGTAAAAAACGTGAACTAAATAGATAAATGTTAGTTATTAATTGACCACGAATATTTTCATCAAGATTTAAATCATTAATTTGATCAAATAGTATATCAAGAAATTTATTTTCAATAGTATCACCATAATTAAGAATAAACATTAAATGGTCATACGTTAAATCGTTATCAAAGAACAATTGATCTTGTAAATTTATAACCATATTATTTAATTTGATAGCAACATCTAAACTAATATTATGAAAATCAATACAGTTAGATGCATTCAATAAATTTGAAAACGACTTGGTAATGGACATGATCGAAGACAATCGAATTATACAAATGAAACAAGCTAAATTAGAGATTATCCTGCTTATTTTCTTTTTTTTTTCTTTTTTCCTTGTACCTAGAAACGTTCTCTGACCGGGCAAATTTGAATCTGTCCAGGGTAATTTTTCTTTTCTTCGATTCTCTCGACAACCATAGTCCATGTGACTAACTCTAAATATTACTTAAAGTTCATTTTGTTTTTCTTCTCGTGATGTCGCTAATTGTTTTCCGTGTAATATGTTTTGAATTCATGATTATTTTTTTTTTCGATATATGTAAATAGTAATCAATTTATTATATATATATCCAGAATAGAAAAAAAGAAACTTTTGGTTTAGCTACTCTAAAATGTGAATTCAATCGTTATTTTGTATTTGTATAGCATGCGTTATTTCACAACAATCTTCTAGCAATAAATTAAAGACTCCTTATAAATTAGTAATAGTAAGGTTACAGAAGAAATAATTAGCTAGAGACTTCTGTTTCTAATGTTTCATACGAAAAGTACTACAACTGAAATTTATTTATATACAAATATGTTTTGTAAAAAAAAAACAAAAACAAAAAGCACATATTTCAGTTTCAAAAGAAATTATTGTTATTATTATTATTTTGATATTCAGGGTGATTTATTGATGAAGTATCAGACATAGCAGCAATAAATTGTTCAAAATCGAAATAATCAAGTATTTGATTTTCTATATCGTCGTAAAAATCATCTTCATCTGAAGTCGAATCATCGGTTACATCATCCACATCTGATTCTTCATCAGATTCATAATTAAAAAAACGTGGATGTACAATTGTATTTATATCAACAGGAAAAAAATATGAACTAAATTTATAGATGTTATATATTAATTGACGACGAATATTTCGATCAAGATTTAAATTAATAATTCGTTCAGATAGAATATGAAGTAATTTTTTTTCAATGGTCTCTCGGTCGTCAAGTAGAAACATTAACTGGTCATATGTTAATTCCTTGTCAAAAAAGATTTGATCTTGTAAATCTTTAAAAATATTATTTAATTTAATAGCAACGTCAGGACTTATATTTTGAAAGTCAATACAGCTGGATGTATTTAATATATGAGAAAATGACTTGGTAATGGACATGTTCGAACACAATTGAATTATAGAAATGAAACAAGTTAAATTAGAGATTATCCTGTTTATTTTTTTTCCTATTTCGTTCTGTCTAGACAGCTTCTCTGACCGAATAACTTTGAATCGATCCAGGGTCAATTGGGTTTTTTCGTTCTCTCGAAAACAAAAGTCCATGTAACTAACTATTAATATTACTTGAAGTGTATTTGTTTTCCTTTTCTTTGCCTGATTTCGCTTGCTGTCTTCTACTAAACATATTTTAAATTTCATGCTTGTCTTGTTTTACTTTTTAAAAAAAAATGAAGCACTATCTCTTTATGTTTCTATCGCACTCGACTAGCTGAATATTTTGATAAATCTGAAACTAATTTTTATGCATTCTTTTGTGCCATTCATGTAAAATTTTAAAACAATAAATATCACTCTCATTTGAATTAGACTTTTCAAAGTTGAATTATAGACGGTCATGTTTGAAAAATGAAACGTGACCTTTTCGTCTTTAACGGCTGTGACGTCTGGAAAGACAAACTTGACATTTTGAACTATTGACTGTTATATGTCTCGAATTTTATATATATGACCGTTTACATTTAGCACTCAAATTTTCAAAACTAGTACCACCTTGTCGTTTAATTTTTATATTTTTCAAAGTATCTTTTCCAGCGGTTATCGATCCAATATAATTAGATCTTTGCACTTTGGAAGGTTATGCTTCAAATTTGACAGTCAGTTGTGTACCTGTTCGCTAATCAACATAATTTGAACTTTTTCTATCTATCTGTTACCTTTGGAATGTAATTTGATTGTGACTTACGAACGGCGATGTGTCTAATTTACTTTGTTATTTTTTCTAACGGTCACCTTCTCAATTACGTTTGGTTTATTACTTATAACGTTTTCAATTCAAATTTCATATTGCAGTTTCGAACGTTTATCTGTTTAGTAAAATTTTACTGCTCGATAGTTATGAATGTGCAGAAAAAAAGCATATGTGATCGTTCTTTTTGTGGCTCGTTCAAATTTTCTATGATGTTTTCTATAAAGAGCTCCAAAAAATTGTTTGAAAAAGAAAGCGGCACACACTACAGAAAATTATTATTTTTTTCATTAAGTTCAGATACAATTTACTAAATGAGATTCATATTACTATTGTAATCTTTATGAGAATAGCCGGAGTGTCATAAAAATTAGTTTCTGTATCCATGCAGAATAAGTGTAGAAAAATAGAAAAAAAATATATAAGCTATTGGATGAGCAATACTTTATTGCAATAATTTTCACAACTTTAATTATTTACATAATATGTACAAAAAAGAACTACTTTTTCTTAAAATGTTTATTATTGATTATTGGTGTAAATTTGGTGATTGTGATAAATCTGGTTGTTTTTTTTCGACTTGTTGGATTTGTTCGACATTGATCTTCTTTTCGAAAAGACAAAAACAAATATTAATACAAAGATATTTAAAAGTAGAATTTAATTTTCGTTAATTAGCACTCTCTCTGCTACTGACTATACTTTAGGAGTTTCTGAAATAATTACTTTTGAAGAAGACTTGGTTTTAGTTTTTTTTTCCATTATTGACTTCTCTATAGTTTTATTATTATTATTATTTGTCCAGGATGACTGACTGTAGGGGGCACGTTTTATTGCCGCATGTTTCAAGACGGCTTTTAATAATTTTGTTTGTACTTTGCCAACCATATTATTTATTTTAAATCGTACGATATTTTACTTGCAAACTAGTATTGAAACGTAGATTCGAATGGCAACTCGAAGTATACGATAATAATTCTTCTTTCTTTTTTTTTGGCTTTTCTTTATAGAATAAAGAATGTCTAGACTACACGTGGTATTATCCATATTCGAAAGTTTAAATATCGGTCACAAGGAATAGTAAATAAAAATTGGGTATTTTCAACACATGTCATCGAAAACGGACAGATATACATCCACATCAGCATAGTTGAGTTCATTAAGAAAATAAGAGGGATATTAACCGTATTTTTCATTTACTTAATTAACAAGTTGAAATTAGATGTAAATGTACAAAAAAAAACTAGTTTATATTGATATTGTTTAAGTAATACGAAAAATTTCACAGAAAATATCGAAGAAAAAAACAACACATAACAATTGTATACAAATGAAAAATTGTCTTTCAAATTCCATGAGAGTTCAACAGTCTACCAAAAAAATTTCCATGCGAGTTGTTGACTTGTTCGTAGATAACCACATCAACTCCAGGTAGTGTCAATGATGGAGCAATTGCTGCTGTTGTTCTTCCTACGGTAGAAGGTAGATTACTTGATAAGTTTGAATTGATATCTTTTTCCGTGTTCATATCTATATAAAATATTGAAACATTAATGTATATGTGTGAGTAACAATTTACTCTATCTAAATATATTTTACTTGCCCTTTTTGAGTTTAATTACTAAAAATGAGCAAAATAGAACAATATAAATGCTTGAAATATTTTTGATTATATGCAATAATCTATGAATATATCTAGAAACAGAATAGATAACTATAGAAACTTCAAGATAGAAAAAAAAACATATTTTCATAAATTATATTCTAAACAATATTCTATGTATATGAAAAGTACAAGTTCATATGTTTTAAAATTGATCATCCTCCTCTATTGTATCATTCTGATGTTTCTGGCCATGGTAAGTCCACAATAATAAGAGTATTCATTGGATTGTAATCATCTAAATAATCTATAGGCTGATAGTTTTCTTCTACAATTTCTGATGTTGTTTGATGATGTTGTTTTTCTAATACCATTTCTTGTTCTTCATGATACTCTTGTACTTCACGAGCCAAATTTGTTTGAACATTTTGATTTGTATCAGATACTGGTTGTTGTTCGAACTAAATTGTGATATTTCGAAAGAGACAATATTTGATTGAATTTCTTTTGATTCTTACCTTAGAGTCTGGTAATGTACAACGTGGAATTCTTACATAACATTTCATACAATCCACTAAATTGATTCTGAAATCTTTTATTCCATATTTTTCACGTAAATAGCTTTCATTATATTTGTTATTTATCGACGAGGAAGCTACTGAATTTGTTGATCCTGTAGATGACTAATAAAGATCGGAAAAAATAAATGCATTACTTTCAAGATATTTTGATATTGTTTACCTGAGTAATTGATTGCTGCTGTTGAATATCACTCTGACATGTTAGAATAGAATTTTCTAAAGAAGATTAGAAACAAAAATAGATTTCAAATTTGATAATTAAGTATTCAATACCTTTTGAAACAACTGATTGTTGTTGTTCTTGTGAGCCATTAGACATCATTTTGAATATGAGATAATTAGTCGAAAAATGTATCTGTAAGTAATAGAGAAAAAAGATTTTTTTCGATTCAACTATAAACAATAAATTCTTAGAAAATTGGTATGAATGAAAGAGTTACATGTTAGTTTATTTTATAGTTATTTTCAAGAAATGTTTTGAAAAACAGAAAAAAAGAAAAAGCTAGAAAAAAGTTCATTGGCAGTTGCTATAAATTTTATACGATTTTTCATCTAAACAAAATGAAAAAAAAAATCAGTAAAGTAATATCACTTATTAACTATATTTACTCATTTATGTAACAATATCGACACTAATTTAGTTACTGCTAAACAATCATTCACAGCATATTGTATCATCTCTTGAATAATATTGTTTTGTTTAGCATTCATTACTAACGATTGATTATTGTTTACAATATAAAGATTTCGACTCCATCTACTCTTGGTCCGACATTTATTGAGAAATTCTTGACATGCATAAACTATAGCCATTTGAAGTGACCAATGATGACCTGAAGTTTCGATGGATTGTTTTGAATATGCATGTAAACGTTTCTGAATATCCCTTGGAAGACAAATATATTCATGTGTTAATTTTTGATCATGCCAGTTTTTAAAAAGTTTTTGTACATCTATATTATTGATTTGTTTAAGTTGTTTAGATGAAAAAAGTCCACATGATATAAATTTATTTAATTCATTCTCACCGTTACCCCATGAATATATACAATTGGATGGATTTAAAATTATTTTCAGAAGTGATCTTATTAACCAAAATATGACTGATGTTGCTTGTGGTAAATGATGCACTTCAATTAATAATACGATAGATTGATGTTGTATGAATTCAATTTGAATTAATGATGGTCGATGTGTATAATAATCATCTTCTGTATCAATAGTAAATTGAATTGTTTTTTTTGCTTGTTCAATTAAATTATGTAATAGAATAGAAGATGTAAGTTGATTGATATGATAGATACGGTAATCATTTAGTGGATTGAATATTGGTAATACGCTTAATGCCATATTTAATTCATGTTTTCGAGCATTTCGGTTCATTTTCTTTTTTTAATTCAGCACTATTATTTTTATCTACAAAATAAGCATAAATAATTTTTTTCAAATACAAAAAAACTGTATAACAAAAAAGAAAAAAAAGAAACGATAATAATAGAATAGTATATGATTTCAAAAGTACACAAAAAGAAAAATATCATGTCATAATAACAATGAACTAATATAATATCACATAGTTGAAAAACAAAAGTCATTATTGTTGACCTGTAATAGTAGGTGATTTGTCTACTGCTAATAAAGTATTTAATGAATGAAAATGTTTAGTTGTTAGGATAATTTTGGAGTTTTCTTCTGATAGAATTGGATGTTTTTCAAAATAATGAATCCAAAGTTTATAAAATTCTCGATTGAATCGACATCTTGGACCAAAATCATAAATGTAATTGAATTGAATTAAACGACCATTATTATTAAATTTTTCAAGTTGCTCTATAAGTTCATATCGTTGTTCGACGAATTTAAACCATTGTTGACGAAATTTATCATATGTACTTTGATTTCTTGAGTATCGCACAGTTTGAGCATGAAAATAATTGAAAAAATGTTTGACATGAGTTTCAACAAATAATAATGAATAACCACTAATAAGATAAGTTAATTCAAGAGCAATTCGTTCCTGTTGAAAATCATCAACTGATGTACAGTAACATACAGCACGAATTAAAGCTGTTCGTAACCAATCACTATGAGCTGATTTGGAATGACCCAAGAGATATGGTAATGTATAACGTGGCATATTCGAATCATAATGTACACGAGTATATAATTGACCTTGTCGATTTTCGATAGAAGCATTTAAAAATTCGACATTTGTACCAATAAATTTTTGAAAACGTACATTCCAATGTTGTTCTCGAATGTTTTCTAGAAATGTTTCAAGTTCGAGAGCACTTGATTTGTTCCATGTAAAAAATAGTTGATCTTTATATCTAAAAAATATTCAATTTGAATTAAAACAACTTTATAATTCTGGAAGAAATATTTCAGCAACAAAAATACCTTCCAAAAAATTCTATATTTCGATCAATTTGCTTCCATATTTTCTTTTGCCATACAAATAAATAAATATTTGATAATGTTTCTGTTAATGCCATTGTATTTGGACTACCTTTTGTACATTTATAGATATTATCCTTGTACAAAAAGATATTATTATAAAGAAATACATATAAGAGATTTTTAATAGTTTGAATTGTTAATGATTCAAGTTTGTTTGCTGCTGTATTATCCTGTAAAAAATAACCAATAACATCAATCATATTTTTATGTTCATCTAATGTATAAAAATTTGTTATTTTAATTGTACAAAAAAGTGTTGTTGAACGAAGACGACGTTCTGTATTAGCATAATGATTTAATTTTCGAATAAAATCAGTTTCATCAACAAATGTCGTTGAATGTAGAATTTTATTAGCAAATGGTTGTAATAATTGATTTAAATATTTGCCAATTTTCCATGTTGCACTAAATCGTGATGTAATAATAGGTACTAAAGAAATATCATTTTCCTAAATAAGCCAACAAAAAAAGAAAAAATTAAGAACTAAAAGACATGTTTTCTTACATTGGAAATATTTGGTAAGAAATATAAATGTGGTAATTTTATTTTATTTGAATCAGCAACTAATTGTTTATATAAATCATCTTTAATAGCTTTATGTGCTTTTAATTTTTCTAATAAAGAATTCATTGAGTCAATCATTTCTTTTATTGATAGATCTAGTGTTTTTTCATTTGTTTCATCGTTGATGTTCATTAAAACTTCATAATCTTCCGATCTTGTTAAATATCGATCAGCTTTTGTTTCGAAATCTTGAATGTTGCCTACATAGAATGTATTCATATTGTTAGCAGTTCGTCGTAGAATAAGATTATTTTTCTTTAAAGAATTTTGAATTGATTGAATTAAATTTTTTTCATAGAGAGCCCGTTGATAAAGATTTGATGGTATTGGTTTGGTAAAATGATTTTTAAATTCTTGATAAGTTTTATCTTGAATTTCCATTTGTAAAGGAAAATGAATATTATATTTTTGAAAAAGAGTCATTAATTGATGTTTGAATGGTGCAAATTGTTTCTTGACAATATCATCCATAGATTCATTTGAAAATAAAATATACATTAAACATGGTGGTACATAACTTGGTCCACGGTTTAATAATTGTAATTGTTTATCTGAGAATTGATGTGTTGTATCAATAAAAAGAGAAGATGAACCTCCAATCATTTTCATTGTTTGTTCACTTTGATTCATATTTATATAATTTAATTCATCATAAGAATTTCGAAGAAAAAAATCAATTCTATGATTATAAATATCTCTCCAACGATTAGTAATATTATTGAAACGTTGTTCAAGTAAATTAATTAATGTTGTAGTCATTCCTTGATCTTTAACAAGATTACGATGATTTTGCCACATTTTAGATAATTCATAATCAAATAGATTTTGAAATCGATAATAAATCTGTTCAGCTTCTAATATATGTTGAACTAATAAATCAAGTTTTTTATTTCGAATTTCTTTTTCATATTGATTCAATAATTGTTGTTGCTGTTGTTGCACATTGCCCTTCTTAATAGTAGTATCATTTTGAGTTGGTATTGATATTTGAATAGAATCGAACGATATAGATGATTTATTATAGACAACACCTTGTTTTAATTCGAGTAATGCTCGTTTTGATTTTTCTAAATCTCGTCTCAAATTAACAACACGTTTAATAATTTCTTTCTATATGACAATAAGAAAAAAAAAAATAATTTTGGAAAAACAAATTCTTTTCTTACTTGATATTGGTTTGGATTTTCTTGTAAATATTTTCGTTCAATTATTTCGTTTTCATAATTATACATAATAGTTGCTTTTTTCAATTGATGTTTCATTTCAAGTGGTTTAATTCCATATTCTTGTACATAGATTTCTAGTGCTGCATCCATCTCGTATGTAAATTCAAGTAAAAAATTCTTCTTTTGAATTAATTCTTGTTCAGCAAGATCAATTTTTAAATTAAAATCTTCTAAACGTTCACGAAGTAGCTTTTCACAATCAGCTTGTTGCTTATCTGGATTTGTTTCGGTTGTTGTTGTTGTTGTTGCTGCCGCTGCTTGACCTTTTTTCTTTGTTAACATAAGTGATTGAACTTGCATTGGCCAAACTCGTCGATCAACTTCTATTAAATCATTTTCTGGTTCCATTAATGTACCTGTTACGGATTGTAAATAGATAGTTGTCATTTCTTTTTCGAAACGAAGATCAGCAATTTGATGCATTAATAAAGCCAATTTTTGTATATCATTTATACTAATAGATTGAACATTTTTTAGTATATTTTTTATTTTACGAACAAATGTTTTATTATCCAGTGATAAATAATTTGGTATTTCATTTTGTTTTGTAGAATTATCATTAATATCAAAATCTTCATCACTATCATAATTAGCCATTTTCATTTTCTTTGAATTTGGATTTGGACTAGCTAGAAAATTTGAACGTCGTTTTTTATCACTAGGATTTAATGAATTGATTTCATTTTGATCTGCTGTTGATAATTGACTTAATTTTTGTGATAAAATAGACTCAACATCTTGTTGTTCTCCTTCTTCGTTCAACTAAATGGTAGACAAAAAAAAAGAGCTACAGCTTTTAATGCAAAAAAAAAAACAAAACATGTAATACTTCAACATAATCGGAATCTTTGAAAATATCATATTGAATAATTTCTTCTTCATATATCATTGATTTTAATTGACCCGATAAGAAATATTGATTTAATATATCTTTTGAAAATTGAAGTCCATCATTTGTTTCATCAATAATATCAAATGTATCATGGAATGGTTTGACATTATTTGATAATTTGTTGACAGTTGTGTTTGATTCTTGGTTTGTATTAGCCATTTGATAGATGAAAACCAACAAAAAAATTAATTTACTATATCTGAAATAGGTGAACGTTATGAAGTCGGATATTAGATACAACTGTGTACAAATGCTTCGATTTATATACTTTCAAAAACAAAATCTATACTGAAAAATTCTTTTTTTTCTGACAATATCCTACAAAAAAAAAATATTACAAAAGCTTCGAGTCTATTACTATGCCATCAGAAATGAAATGTTCATTTTTCAGTTAGATCCAGGAAATATTTGAGTGGTAATGGTCGTGTTGTATGTTGCATATATTCTTTAATGAGTTGTTGTAATTGAGCAATAAATTGATCATCCAAAGATCTATCTTGTTTTTCATTTTTTACTACTGATTCTATAGACCAATTGAGTGTTGCTTGTAATCTTTGGTGTTGATTACTCTACAATAGATAATAACACGAAATAGTTTTTTTATCAATTTGTATAGAATAACTACTTGTTTTTAAAATACTGACTGATTTATTATTCAAAATTTGAGACCATTTGGGGTTATTAAATATAACAAGACAAAATCGCTGAGACTTAATATCAGCTATATCTGTCTTCTTTCCCTTTGTAGAAGACGTTTCTTGTTCAGTAACATTACATATTTCCATAGGTTCAGTTTTACATATATCATTAAAATCGTTCGTATCAATTTGCATTGAATGTTCACTTAATAAATTCGTAAGAATTAATTTGAAATCTTTCGAGTCAAATTCCATAATTGATCGTTTAATCGTCAATAAGTGAATGTAATCTAGAACAACAAAAATAAATCTACAATACAAAACAAAATGAAGAATCTATGAAGAAAATATATATAAAAAAGTTTCATATTCAATTTGAATTGCATAAAATCAGTTTACACATGATCATGTGCTTCGAAACCAACAAAATACACAAACAAAAGAATGATACAAGAAAAAAAAA